TGTAACTTAATTAGTTTTAAATTAGGGTTTAATTTAATATTTTCATAACAAAAATCTAAAAAATGTAGAAATAGGGTTTAATTAATAATTTTTCATCCTTTTTATTTTTCTTTCATAAATAATTAAATAATTAAATATTTATTTTTATAATTAAATTTGTATATAAAAATTAGGGTTAATTTAGGTTAAAATTCAATGTTTTCTTAATAAATTAAAAGCCACTAGAATTAGGGTTAGTATTTATTTTAATTAATTCTTTTTTTTTATTAAGATCCTAAAAATCATAAAATATCAAAAACATCTTCTTTTCTTTTTCTTTGATTAATTAATTCCATTTAATTTAATTTTGCAAAAAGTGTCCAACGCCCTCGTTTCGATTTAATTCTTATGCGCATATTTATTTTATTTCTTTGTAATATTTATGTATCTCTCCCAAGGCCATGTAACCTTTTAATTTTCTCGCACTTTTCTTTTAATTCTTTATTTTCTATCAAATCGGGTCCTGGTTTAATTTTAGCGATGTGGACCCGCGCCTTTTGTAATAGCTTAGAATTTTTACTTTCCCGCAATATTTTAACTGTAAATAATGGCATGAAAGAATGTATGGACAAAAATAAAAACAAGCGTAGAACACCAATAACATGACAAGATAAATAAATGAAAACGACACACAAATTCACACACCACCCCTAGGGTACGCCTCACTGTTGCCTTGCCTCGAAAGGTGATCGTCGAGTAGAGGATGTCTTAGTAAGTCCTCATGATCCGGGAACCTGGCATGAGGGTAGCTTCTAAGGTGTCTTCCTATTGCTCCGGTGATCACCATGTCCCGAACCTCGAATTGACCCGAACACCTCCAACGGTGGTGCTACCTACCTCTCAATGGTGGGATGGCACTACTTTAAAGGACATTTACACAGACGAATTCCTTAGGGTAGGTAGGTTCTCGTAGATACTTTCTCTAATTTCAAAACAAAAATCAAAAATACTTTTCACACCGACACCTTTTCAAAAAGCTTTCGAAAGCAATTTTTCAAACACTCTTGAGGACCGATACAAGAGTCGAACTGGAATTTTCAAAGAAACTTTTTAAAACCCACATTGAAAAGCAAACAAACCATTTTTGAAAACACAAGTGAGCAAGTATCTAAGAGCCCATGGATAACCATGGATAGAAAGGGTGCTAACACCTTCCCTTTCTATAATCTATCTCCCGAACCGAGAACTAATCTCATAAGGAATTTTTCTGTGCTTTTGTCCTTTCCTTGTTGGAGAAAATAAAAGACGGTGGCGACTCTTGCTTCCGCGACATTTCGCGAACCAGCGTTAAACAGTCAGTTCCAGATCCACCGATCACATATATCATGTAATAAAAAATAAATAAGTATAAAAATATATGTATGTGATTCGGTTTGGTTTGGATCGATTTTGAAAAATTTATCCGAAATTCGATCTGAAGGATAGATTTTCATAAAATAACATCCAAACACATTCAATAAAATCAATTTTTTTTTATTTAGATTAGTTTAGATTTGAACACCCCTATATAAGAGGAAATAAAATCAAAATAGAAGTCAAAATATATAAATATTAATTACAAATAATTTAAGTTAAATCAAAATGAAAAAAACAATTTTTTTTTACTAATTTTTACTTGCGCACTAAGATACAAATAGACAAATATGAGATTGCATATCACAAAATTTAATATAAAAATATATCACAAAATTTAATATAAAAAATAATTTATATTAAAATCAAAATTAAATAAAACAATGTAACAAATCTGTTTATATTTTGAAGTGTAAGTGCATAAAAAATTTCACAATCTCTTTTTTAAAAAAAAAATCTAATATAAGAGTCATTTTTCGAATAAAGATTTTATGTTCCACATTTTTCTTAAAGTACGTAAATGATTGCACAATATAAATAGTATTTTGTATACTTCAATTTTTTAATATAATTTTGAATATCTTTGTTTCTAGGAGTGTTCAAAACTAAACCGGCTCAATATAAAACCGCAAAATCGAACTGAATTAAATCGAAATCGTAAAAAACCGTATTTAATTCGGATGTACTTGGATTATTTTCTAACAAAACCGTTTGGTTCGATTTGGTTTGTGATTTGTATTTTGTAAAGCCGAATCAAACCAAACAAAACTGCATTATGTTTTAAAATCTTAGTAACCAATATATATTTCTTTAATTCTTTAGAGAAATCAACATGTATTATGTGTATATTTTATCATACTTTATATGATATTTATTTTAATTTATAAATTATAAAAAAATAAAATATTATTCATTTATAGAGACTATTTTCACAAAATATATTTTATTGTATTCTTTGTATAATATTTATTTGAGAATACAATCTTGTCTATATCATTTTTTAGATTTAAATTAAATTATAATACACAATTTTATGTATCAAATTATAAATTTATTATAAATTTTATTAAGGTAATGTATGAACAATTAAACACAAAATTATATTTTCCTCTATATGTGTATGTATGACTTAATAATTTCTTTTTGTAAAAATTTAAATCAACCGAACTAATCCAAATCGTATTAGTTTGATTTGATTTAGTTTGAATTTATTTTTAAAAACCAACCGAACCAAAACGAACTGCATATTTTCTCTCTCTTGCGATTTGAATGATTTTTTGCTTTAAAACTACACCGCGAACATCCCTATTTATTTTCCAATTTCAAATACGTTTATTTTTATCTTGATTTTATTGAGATATAATAATTGTGTTTTAATAAAATTGTTTTAGTAGGACGTATACTAAAAACTTCATAAAAAATATGTGTTAGTCGAATAAAACTTCATTAGTAGAATATATATTAATTTTTTATTTTATTTAATTTTTTATTAAAATTCAAAATTCTTACTTAAAATAAAATATATTTTGTAATTATTTAGACTTATAAATTACTAAAACAAAACAAAAATTATTTTAAAAAAAATGATAAATGATAGTCATGAAAAAATAATGATAAATAATAATTATAAATAAATAATAAATAATAAAATTTTATACAATAATTTTTTATAATTAAAAATAAATTACAAATAATTTCATAAATTCAAATATTAACACAATCATTTTAAAGATGAATAAGTTAAAATATTTTTATAAATTGTCATACAAATTCAAAACACTTATAAACATGAAAAAGTCTAGGTATTCGATATAATTATTTTACAAACAAAAATAAGTTACAATAACTTTTATAAATAAGAAAAAATTATAAATATTTTTATAAACGGAAAAAAAATTCAACTATTGATACAATTATTTTTATAAACGGAATAAATTTTAAATATTTTTTATAAATTGACACACGGGTTCGAGACGTTTATAAACGGAAAAAATTCTACCTATTAGAATAGTTATTTTTATAAACGAGAATAAATTTCAAATATTTTTTATAAATTTGCACACGGGTTCGAGACATTATAAACGGAAAAGTCTACCTATTGAGACAAATATTTTTATAAACAAAAATAAGTTACAATTATTTTTATAAATAGGAAATTCAAATTTGATAAATAATTATATATTATAACTAAATGATTGTTAACCAACTAAATACATGAAATAAGTTCATAGATATAAACGTATCTATGAAATACTAGTTGTGAACTGTTTATTTTAATATTTATCTTTTAAATCTTTCTTTATAGTTACAGGTCAATGCTTAAAAATTAGTGTATATTATTAGTCTATATTTTATAATTATGTGAATATTAATCAATTGAAGTATAAATTAAAACTTTACAAATGGGCACTTAATATACGTGTAATGTAAATCCAGAGAGAACACGTGTGATAACACATATTTCTTACTAATTGTAAATTAAAGTTAAACCAATCAAAATTCTTACCTTTAACATGTCATTTTCGTAATTTAAAAATAAAATTGTAATTTACTGTAAAACATGACTTTCATTAACTGATAATAAAATATTTTATACTATTACTACATTTCTTAATTTCTCTTAAAATATTTTATAGGAAGGATATTTTTGTGATTTTGCAGATGATTGTATGGCAATTATGATGTGTATATCATACCTGACACGAGATAAAATTTTACAATGTTTTTTGTGATTCTTGATTGATATTTATATTTAAAGATTGAATGACTTTTTTTGGTAAGTTACAAAAATATTAAAATAAATTATATTCTTTTTAAATTAACATTATAATTTAAAATTTAAAAAATTGTTTAATAATAAATTTAAATAGTAAAATTAAATAAATTAAATTTCAAATAATAAAAAAAAATTTATAAATAAAAAATTTATTATTAATAAAAATATTTTTCAGTATAGTTTTAATAACAAAGACAAATTATAATATTACTATAATTTTATTTATAAATTATAAATAATTATAACTTTTTTAATTTAAAAATGTTATCCATCTCGCATGGATATATGGATATACACACTAGTATGAATAATTACTACTCCAAAAAAATAAAACTCGAGAGAAAGTGAGAGAAAGTTAACGCAAGATTCTTCAAAATATATTCGATGCCAACAAAGTATATTTCATATGTCATACCTTCCCCAAAAAAGTATTTGCGTAGCATACGCGTGATACATTTTGTAACTTTAGTACAAGCAACTTAAAATATATGAAAAATCATATGAAAATGAAGTGAAAGAAGAAAACAAATTTTATTCCGCTTCCTCTACAGTCTACACTACAAATGCAACCCATTGGTTTGTTCCTTCATCAATCCCTGTAGTATCCAACTTTCCCTCTCTCCCTCTCTCCCCTTCTCAATGTATATATATATTTAACATGCCTAGACTATCTATTCTATTCTTTAAGGTGAGAGAATGGTTCAAATAAAAGGCAAAAACAACCAACTGATAAGTTGAGAGCAAAACCGCCTAGGAAGAAGGCTAATTTACATAAATAAACACTATCATGACGGCGGAACTTTCCTAGATGTGGTTGGTGGTTCTGTCTTTGTCATCTCATGTTGCAGCAAAGTGGTTTACCTTGATGTTGCAGTTTATCCCACATGCATGCCATTTGTCTCGGCGATTGGTAATGCGCGGTGTAGTAATCTTCAATGCAGCCGAATTGGCAGAACCTGAAACTGTGCACATACTCTACTTCTTTTGAGCTGTTGAATTTCTCTACCCACATTCCCATGCTCACATCTTCCATTTTAAATAACTGCATCGTGTCAGTTAAATTAGTTGACGGTCAAGAGATTTTCGCACCGTGTATCAAAAGATTCAAAAAACAGACTTACTTTTAATCTTTGCTGTTCAAATTCGGATACAATGAAATGAGCAATGTCAGATGAGACAATGTAACCCGGACCGTTAGCATAGGGAGGATACTCTTCCTCTATCCATTCCTAAAAGTTGTTCAAAAAAATGAAAATAAGAAATTAAACATGTCATATGCTCTTTTCAAACATCTCACAAGTGTTTTTGTCGGTAGATAAGTTCAAATAAATCAATTCAGACAAGACTATAACGTGCAATAGCAAGCAGAGAAATCAAAAGAGAAGTTATACCTCGTAGGTTACGGCCCATTTCCCATTGCGAAGAGGCCTGTGGTGGTAATTCATATTTCCCATATAAAGGCTTTCATCACTTTCAAATTCTCTTGTCTCGCTTATGATAGAATCAACTCTAACAAATGTGTCATCATCACACTTCATGATATACTTGGCTGCCACGGCGCGAATCTGCGACGAACCGTGTTCATCAACAACCAATGATATAGCGACTATAACAATGTATACAAATACGAATAAGCAACATTTCTCCTCTCTGATCACTTACCCCATATTCACATATAGCTATGGTCTTCAAAACAACAAGGTCATAATGATCCATGTACGGGACTATAATAATATCGCCGAAATACTCGGCTTCTTTCTTTATTTCCACATTTATATCTTTCCTTGCATGCTATCATATGCAAAATGGAAAAACAGTAAGATCAGTAAATTGTGTAAACTATTTGTGGATTTATTTTAATCATTATTTGTGATGGATAAGATGTGGCCACTCTTACCAGGCTACGAAAAACCGAGCCACAATACGTGAGGATTTGATTAGCTTATGCTGCATCCATGACTTCCTCACAGCCATTCGTTCAGCAAAATGGTTTCCAGCAGAAAGGATACCAATGAAAAGCTCGACATTCACGCCAAGAATAGGTGGAGCCTTCCACTGAGGAAGCAATTCAAGATGCATCTGCGGAGCAAAGCTAGGATGTGATGTAGGTAAGGAAGCAGCGTATATAGAGTGCACATCGACGTCCCCATTTATTGATAGTCCGGTAGCATCCTCAAGAGCAAAGCCCTGCAAAGTGTGAATATAACATAAGACATTCATGCAGAAAGAGTATCAAATACAGTTGTGTTATTTGAACATCGAAATACAGACACTGCATGTGTTGTGTTCTATCTTACTTTTGTATCTTTTACGACTTGCACATATTTCAAAAATAAGTGCAAAAACCAAAGGACTGTGTATCTGACATCAAAATTTGTACTCACTGTGCGATACGGAAAGGACGTCACATGCCTCCCATCCACAGTAATATGGTAACCTTCCAAGCCAGCACTTATGGTGAGAACAAATAACTTCCCTTCAGCAAAAGGATATGGCCAATCCACATGCACGTCTTTTTTCCGACCCATTAGTCTGTTCAACCACCATGTCGCCTTCCACTCTTCTGATCGGTTCTCATCATCGTGAATCCATTTTTCACATTTCACCTGTCCATCAACTTTATAACATGACAAAAAATCAGCAGAGAAATTAAAGCCCCTTGTAACAAGACAGACATACAACCAACAACAACAATAACCAAGCTTTATCCCACAAAGTGGAGTGGAGTCGGCTAGATGGATCAAAATCCGTTATAATGTTCTATCATAGACCATGTTTCTATCCAATTTGTTAATCTCGAGATCTTTTTCAATAGTTTTTCTTATAATTTTCCCATCGGCTTGAGCGGTATTTTTGTCACGTAAACCCCTGAGGTCATCCTCCATTTCAATCACCCAGCTTAAATTCAATGGTTTACATCCTATTCTATTTCTCCATCATTTTCTATTAAGGACATAGAAGGAACAAATAATATCAATGAAACTTGACCCTCGGTCAGCAAAAACTATAGTATTGCCCAACAATCTGCGTCTTTTGAAAAGTTGGACTTTTGAGATAGAATATATGATAGTCGAGTCAACAATAATAACCACCCTAAAAAAAATTCATTAAATGGAGTGAGCTACATGTATTAATAGGTGCCATAAGTCCCTATCACAAAGTCAACTACATGGATAGTCAATGTCACAAATTCCTATGATCCTATCATTCTTAAGTACAAAGAAAAAACATTCACCTCTAAATGCACCTTAATTATTTGACATGCAATTTCCTTCAGTCTATGTCTATGTCTATCTCAAGCTATTGGACTATTCTTCATTTGACCAGCAGCTCTCTATGGCAGCCAAGTATTTTCCACACATGCCCAAACCGCCTAAGACAACCCTCCCATCTTTTTTACAATTGAGGGTCACACTAATTTTATCACTAATGGTTCTATTTGCAAAATTGTAAGACTATACTGTCTTTATAGAAACACATGATACTCAATCTCCTTTCTTATGAAAAACCTCTTATCCTAAATTCAATTGAAAAACATGAAACATGGTATTGGAAGAGTTGATAACATGACTCCCTAGAAAAAAACAAACCTAAGTTTGGTTCCTGTCATCGCCCATTCGGGCAGCCCAAACCCTTGTAAGAATATAAAAATATCCTCGCGCAGACTCGGGAATTAGACTTATTGCGGCCTTACAGGCCTAATCTGCGGGGATAACAGCACTAGTTGGTATTGAAAGACCCTAATTCAAGCATAAAAGAGAAACACAAACACATGCATGGATACAAAAAGGACTTTAAAACTTTACCAGTTTCGTCATCGGCACGAGACTTCCATCCCTCACACCTAAGAGCAGTACCCCATTGCATCCTATAACAAGTATTCTGCTCAATAACAGGCTTTCCACTCCAATCCCCTTTAAGCCTAGGATTAAAATGCAATATCTTCGGTGGTTCTTCATTCTCAACAGCTTTCAACCCCTGCAACTCCATCATAAACTGCGAAACCATCCACAGCTTCATCACCATCCTTCACAACCCCGATCTTCGAATCACTCTCCCATGAGCCCAACGCGGTGTCCCCACCACAGTCACATGAGACCAAAGTGTCAACCCACAAGGCAAAACCATAACCCCTTTCAACTTCTCTCTAAACTCAAACCCAGAAACTGAAACCGAATTCAAACAAGTATCCGAACTGTTTTCGGCTTTAAAACCCGAAAAGCTCTTAACTTTACCACTCTCAACTTCCTCCCATAACTTCTTCCCTGAAATGTAAGCTTGTTTGGCTACCTTGTGAAGCTCTGATGCACCATCAAAGCTCTTGTTGAAGCTCAAAGTCGAAACTTTCTGCAATGGAAACCCAAAGGGTCGAATTTCTTGATGGTTTTCTTCAGCCAAAAGCGGCATTGAGTCGGTGAGAAACCCAATAGCCACTTTTTCTGAACCAAC